CACACTGCTCTGTGTAGTGAGGGTGGGAACTCTACAAACAACATTTTTTCTTTGCCAGGTGACTCTGCCAGAGGGGACACCATGGGGATCCCTGTGGGCACAAGAGGCAGAAGGCATCAGCTCCTGTCTGTCCTTTTCCTGCCAGTGTTGCCCAGCAACAGGCCTTCCCCGGGCAGCAGTGTTTGCTTCCAGTTATATCCTTAGCTTCCAGTCTTTTCCACTCTCCCAGAGAGCCCTTTGCACCCCAAGAGGCACCACACCAACCAAGCAAGACCTTCCAAGAGACCTGTGTCCCACATCCTCAGGGGACCTGATCTGAGTTCTCCATGTATCAGCACAAGCTGCTCAGGGACCCCTCCTCACAGGGCTGGGTCCCAACTCCAGGGAACCCCTCTCAGTTCCCAAGTCTGGGTCTCCTTCAGTCCTCAGGTTCTGACAAGCCCTGGCTCTTTTCTTTGCCCCTCCCAAACACAGCGAGAGACGCTTCCTGCAGTCACTCTTCCTTCCTACCTTATTCCTTTTTTGCACTTCTACTCCTCTAATATTGGTCTAGCCAATTCCTTACATTAAATTCTCTCTGCTAACATCACTAGTGTGGTTTGTTTTCCTGACCAGACTCCTGACTAACACTTCTTTGAAAAATACAAAAACAAGAAATGATTTCCACTTCATCATCCTACAACAGTTATTTATTGTCCATTTCTTCCAACTAGTTTGTAAACACTATGATATTATACCCACCAGGGAATTTGGGTTGGTAAAATATACACATAGCACTCTAAACACAACTTGGCCTGCAGCAGGTAACGCATCATATTCATTGGATAAATGAAAAGGAAATATTTAATTTCAATATACACACACAAAATGTGGTTATAAAACTGTGTTTATAACATATAAGGTAAATATATTCAGAGGAAGATAAGTAACTCAACTTTGCAAAACTCTCTTTCAGAATTTTTTAGCAATATTTATTTTCTGCTTTTTATCTTGCTTACTGATTTTCTTGCTTACTAATTTTTATCTGTGCAGGTTTCTCCATATTCTTCTTGTGCATTAGGGTATGTTATCCATGAGATGCTCATTCAGTCAATAAAATACTTTTTAATCTCAACTATATACTAGATATTATTCTAGATGCTTTAATGATAAGTCCATTTTAAATCCAGCTAATATATAATTGAAAACTAAGTGAGTCACAGCATTTGGGGATGATAAAAACAACAACAACAACAACAACAATACTATGCTAGAAGAAGAATACCCAGGTTGTAAACCCAGGCCTGCTATTCCCTGGCAATATGAGCTTGGGCAAGTAATTTGGCTTCTCTAGGTATCTGTTGCCTCCTCTTAGAAATAAAGAAGTATAGATAATTTCTCAAGTGTCCTTCCTTTTTATGACTCCTGATTCTTCAAATAGAAATGTTCTCTAAATTTCCAAGAGTACAACAGAATTTACAAACACGGGTAGTCACCATGCAGACTCAAATCTTTCTCATCTCCATGCTCATGATTCCCAGGGTCTGAAAGGCGCAAAGTGATTGACAGTAAATAGGCAGTCTAAGAAAAATCTGTGGTGGCAATTTCTAGTTCCACTTCAAAATGAAATTATAATTTTCTGTAGTAAGAAAGTTATCTGGGTATTTGTAAGACCCTGACCAGTGGAAGAGTATTTATATTGACAGCTGCGTAGATCATCAAACACACTGGAATACAGCTCAGAAAAGACCAGATCGGTGCAGCCAGCTCATCTCTTTTACTGACACAGTGGCCAGACTGTGTCAGACAGCCCAGAAGGCAACTGCCTGAGATCTGAACAGAATACACGATTACCAAAGGGGAACTCTGAACCCAAGGACATGCCATGAACATGAACTGAAATCATGGCACAGTGGAATGTAACTGCCATATATGTTCTCTCTTTACTGTAAGGAGAGAACCGCAATATAAATGTTGGCTGAGGGCTGGGACTGTATAGCTCAGTGGCAGGGAGCTTGCCTAGCTTGTGTGAAGTTAATCTCCAGCACTGCTAAATAAATAAATAAATAAATAAATAAATGGATGTTGGCCAAATGCTTCTTTAGAAATAGTGAAAACAGAGGGAAAACAGGCTTCCCCTGAAACATGAACCCCAGAAACAAAAGTTCAAGGAGAGTGAAGAACACACCAAGCCATTTAATAACAACACATGTCTACAGAAGTTAGCGGAGGAAATTTGTGTTTTTTTTTTCAAAAAATTTTATTCATAGAAGTATGGTTTGCATATGCCTAGAACAAAATCAAGTAGTATTGGAATCATCACCAGGAAAGACCTTAAAAAAAAAAAAAGGGAAACTTGGCATCAATTAGGGAACCTAGCACCTAGAACAATTCTATTTAAACCTGTGTGTCAGGGGCTGGGGGTATAGTTCAGTGGTACAGAGTTTACCTCGTATGTAAGAGGCCCTAGGTTTCACCTCCAACACTGCAAGACAAACAAACAAATAAATAAATTTAAATATGTAAATACGTGTAGTAAACATTACAAAAACCAAGAGTGGTGGACTTATAAACTTATGTGAATACAAAAATAGGTAGCACTGTCACAGAGCCCAGGAGGAAAACCCAGGTGTGACCAAGAGGCAGGAACTTCTGGTTTTATATAAATAATCAGCCCTCTAGTATCTGCAGATTTAACCAACCTCAGATGAAAAATATTTGAAAAAAAAAAAAGGATCCATATTGAGCATGTACAGATTTTTTTTTGCCATTATTCCCTGAGTGATCCATTGTAACAACTATTCATATAGCATCTAAGTTGTATTGGGAGTTATGAGTAATTTAAAGATGATTTAAAGTATCTGGGAGGAGATATGCAGGTTATGCAAATACTAAAGCATTTTCTATAAGGGACTAGTGCATCTGCAGATTTTGGTCCTCTTGGGGGTTCTGGAACTAGTCCCTCCTATATGCCAAGTGAGGTCTGTATGTAAGTAAGCATACGCTTACTTAGGAGACTTCTGAAGTGCAGTATTGCAGACCTGGCCCATGTAGTTAATGAACAGCATGGCTGCATATCATCTCTTCTAGTGACTAACTGGAAGATACATACTGGTAGAGGAGGAGGTACACACAAGGACCCTATGTTAGCAACATGAGGGCCGCCTCATGCTCAGGCTTGTCCTTACCATTCTGAGGAGTGGGTCCTCCCTGAGTGGGGAGCTGAACATGGAATTCATGTGGACATCAGCTCACACTTGGAAACATCCCTGTCTTAAAATTCCTCCTAACCTAATTGTATTTTATAAAAAATTGGGCCACAGATTAAAAGCAGAAAAAGCTTTTGGTAATTAATTAGAAGCCATCGAGCTCTTTATGACAAATCAATCTGAATTAGTCAATTATCTTTCACTGGATGTTATGGTTTAGATATGAGGCATTCCCCCCAAAGCTCATGTGTATGACAAGCAAGAAATTTAGAGGTGAAATAATTGGGTCATAAAAGCCTTAACCTAATTAGCGCATTAATCCAGTTGAATGGATTAACTAGATGATAATCTTAGCCAGGTAGGGTGTCGCTAGAGGGGGCAGGTCTCTGAAGGTGTGCCTTTGGGGTATATATTTTGTCTCTGGTGAGCAGGGCTCTCTTCTATTTCCATGTGGCCATGTCCTGAGCTGCTTTCCTCCATGATATTCTACTTCACTGTGGGCCCACAGCAATGGAGTTGGCAGTCTGTGGACTGAGACATCTAAAACTATGAGCTCCAAATAAACTTTTCCTCCCCCAATTGTTCTTATCAGGTTTTTTGGAGATAGCAGTGAAAAAGCTGACTAAAGCACTGGCTAATATTTGTTTGCTAGAGGAAAATTTTTCATTTATAGCAATTTCATCTAAAAGATGTAGCCGGTAAGTTTCTAAATGAAAGGAATAAAAACTGGGAAGATCTGCCCACCTCTTCCTGACCTCATCTTCATCAAACAGGCCACATTTCAGGGCCTTCACATACTTCTGCAGACCTTTATTGTCCCTTGGATCTTGGATGCCCTTTGTGATTTGACTAGTATCTCACTTAAAACATGAATAGTTCTATTCTGTTGTCTTTTTTTAGCAGCTGTGTTGAAAGATTCCCTCAGCCTGGGCAATGACAATGGCTAAAGTAAACCTGCAATAATGCTTCAAAATCCATCTGTTAAGTCCCAGTTACCACTTTCATACCTACAATTACTCTATGGTCTAAAGTGAATGTTCTGAAAATGTATTAATATTATTCTGGCATTCTAAGTGGATTAGTAATTGTAATTCTACCAGGGAAGTGACCACTTAAATTTTTTTTTTTTTTAACCAGCAGGTTTTGTCATTTTTTAAAGAGTCACTTTAATTTGAAAGGATCCATTTAGTTATAGTGCATTGGTGGAGAGAATTTAACAATCTAAATGGAGAAAGCCTGAGTTGGTCAAATGCCTAGCAAGAGTAAGTTCACTTTCCATGTCAATATTAATATAAGAAAAATTGGTGTGGCAGGGAAATCACCATTGTCATCATCCCTGCCACTGCATTGAGATCTAATGAGGGTCAGCCTTTGTGTGGAAGCTGTAGAGTGGAGTGCCAGAAGCCATCCATGACCCATATGTGAACTGAGCCATGTGTAAACTGAGCCCTGTTGAAGCCACTAGGCAGGAAAGCCAGGTATCATGTGACATCCTACCTACCTCCCACTCAAGCTCTAGCATAGTTCCGGGAGATGGGGTGACCCTTTGGAGTCACATAGCCTCTCCCAGATGGGTGTGGCTTGCCAAAATGCCAGTCAACGGTGTTTACTGTAAGACCCTGCCACACCCAGAAGCAAGCACCCAACCAAGACTCCTCCCATTAAAACCTTATTTCTGCCTTTGATGTACTCCCCCTTAAATAAAGAATGGGAGCCCTTTCCAGTTTTCAGTTCCAGCTCCTATCAGGACTGCAAGACCCATCAGGTCTCCCCTTTCCATATCTAGTTTCTGGATCTGTTTTTATTACTTACTGATTATTTCAGACTTCTTATTTCCCAGGCGGCTCACACCTCCTGAGCAGGAATCTACCCTGTGGGCATGCTGGTAACCCCATTAGTGGGGCAGGAGTTAGAAAAGGACTTTGAAGACCACAAGTCCCAGCTGCACCATGATCTGCTCCCATCATATGTAATGAATGGTGTGTGTGCCATCTGTATTAGCCTGAAAGTCCAATGCTAAATAAATAGGTAGTGATGTCGAAATCCAGCTCAATTTAAGTAAACACTAAGTCACAATATTTAACAATGGATAAAGCTGAGATTGATCCTTTTCGATATTTTAATAACGTTCATGGAAACCTTTCGAACATATTTTACATACTTTTATTCTAAGCAGCCTATAAATAACATATTTTATTTGCCACAATAATAGCAGTGATGTTCTCCCAGGCTTAATAAAGTTCCAGGGGATTTATTTCTGGAAACTCCACTCCACCCATGGATACCAAAATATGAGGATGCTTATGACCCTTATTTAAAATGACATATTTGCATATAAATATATGCACATCTTCTTATATTTTTAAAATTATCTCCAGATTATTTATACTATCAAATACGATGAAAATGCTATGGAAATCATGTTATAGCGTATTGTTTAGGGAGTAATGACAAGAAAAATTCTGTATAAGTTCAGTACACAGTTTTTTTTCCAAATATTTTCAGTCTCTGAGAAACCACAGATATTGAGGGCAAAGTGTACTTCTTTTTTTTTCCTGGAATTCTACCCAGGGGCACTTATCCACTGAGTCACACTCCCCAGCCCTATTTTGTATTTTATTTAGAGATAGAGTCTCACTGAGTTGCTTAGTGCCTCACTAAGTTGCTGAGGCTGACTTTGAACAGGCAATTCTCCCACCTCAGCCTCCCCAGCTGCTGGGATTACAGGCGTTTGCCACCATGTCCGGCCAAAGTGTACTTCTTAATCCTTCTTCCGCCCTACTTTGCTGGCTGTCACTTCTCATTCTCAGTGTTCCCATCTCCAGTAAGTGCTTCCACTTTCTAATTTGCTGCATTTAGTCTGCTTTGGACTTAAATCAGACAATGCTGTTGGAATCCTATCTAAAATATGAAGAAAAACATTTGCCTTTCCAGCATGTCATATGGTTCGGGTCAGGAGGGGTCAGCTTTGGACAAATGGGTTTGGTGACATCAGTTTACAGGCTCTTTGCTCTGGGTGGGATGCTGGGGAAGGCTGGCTGCACCTGTGACCTCTGCTGTGTCCTTGGGTACCGGTGCTCTGATAGCCAGCCTTCTGCATTTTAGTCCCTGACACCTTTTCAGGGCTCTGTGTTCATTTCTGGGCTAGTTTGCTTTTATATATTCTGAGCCCCTTAGTAACCGGTAGCTCCCCCATTGTCTGTAGCACCCCACACCTGCTTAATACCTGTGAAAACTGATGCAGGGAGTATGATTTGCATGTTTACATCAAACTGAGAGGCTTTCAATTCTGAGTAAGTGCCACAATTAGGAAAGCTGCACTGAAATAGGAAATAGACCAGTTGAAAGAACGGTCTCATTTGCAGGCAGCTCACATTGTATTTTATAAGAATGTGTTTGACATTTTAAGCTTTCCCGTGGCAGCAAATTATACTTCTCCTAGCAGCCGGAGTTATTAAGTCTGTGCCCAGAATAAACCAGACTGTTTTGGAAAGTTTAATTTTTTTCAGTTTCCATACTCCATTTTATGACTGTGTTTGTTTCTTCAGAGGTAAGACTGTGTAAAAGCATATCGTCTATTATTTTCCATTTAAAATGACAGATATCATTTCTTTAACCCTCAAGGGGTTCCATCATAATCTACTTTTAAAAAATTAAAAAATAAGTACACAAACAGGAAAACAGTATTCAGGTCTTAAGCTAAAAATTAAAAAAAAATAAGTAAAGATGAAACATTCAACCTGAAGTTCCTGAGGCAGGATGGAAATATTTCTTGTAAATGGATACACAACATTTCATGGAAGCTAGGATGCCATCTGTTTTCTCATATGTATAATTATTTTACTTATTGCCAAGAAAGATGAGGATATGCCATCCACTGAAGATGCACACTCATGCCAGTGATGTTGAAATGTGAAATAATGTTTTTAAAATAATGAAATACAATATTTTCGGAACTTAGTTTTAAAATCACAGAAATAACATGACAACAAATGACTTGAGTCTTTTAAATTTTCTTAGGAAGACCAACATTCTATTTTGGTCAACAAATTTCTTTGTTTTATGGTGTCCCAAGTTTTTGGAAAATGAGAAGTTCCAGAGTTTATACATAAAAAAAAACAAGATGCAAAATTCAACAAATGGGTGTAAAACCAAAGCTGTCATTTTGTAAATACTTGAGACTCAACCAGTACAAAAGCTATCTAATTAGTTTCTTGAGGACCAAGGACTGGAATCCATGGGTGTTGATTCTACAAGTCCATAGATCCATCATGTCATCCTGCAGTTTAGTTCAAATAAACAAAACTGATGTTACTCATACACAGCCTTAACCAAAGTTCATGTTACACAAAACAGTCAATAACCTCTGTGAATGTTTCAGTGATTATTATTAACCTGCAATAAAATTTAACATGTCCAAATACAACAGTATTTCCTCCATTTTTAAATTATTCAGTTAGTCTTTGATTTCTCACTTTAATGAATCAGTCATAATACACAGAGCAGTGGGAATAATTCAAACTTCAAAATAATGTGGTTAAGAGTTGGTACTCTTAAAAAGAGTAAGCTGGCAAGGTAAACATGGCCAATAGCAAAATACAGAGCCTTAGTATGAAGTTGATCAGCTTTTAGTTGCACTGGGAGTAGGATTTCTAGGATCTTCTGCATTTCAGAGGTTCACATGGTATACCACCCATAAAGCCATTCATTTTATGTCCAAATTCATCATCTTAATGAGAATAAAATTTTCTGTTCACACACCCTGCCACTACATTTCAAAAGACCCACATTTTAACAAGTAGAATAGACACACTATCAAACAAGATATCATAAATTACTTTGGCTAAAAAAAGATTCTTTAAAAATATCTAGCTCAAAGTTCTGCTCACAGGTTTCTCTATATACTGCCTCCTTACAGGAGTGGCTATCTAGCCTTTTTAAGGAAATGGTGTATGATCTCCTTCCTTTCCTACAATTATGTAGCAACCACAATATTCCTTCCTAGCAAAACAAGAGAAGTTAGATTGGCTTTTCGGCCAACTTGATGCAAAGCCTCAAGAGCTTCCTGCAGAGGAAAGCCGGGTGGAGAATCAGTCCAGGTCTGCAGTAGGAAAAATCAACAGTAGAAGGTTGGAGGGCCATGAAGATGGATGTCATTGCCACTTTGGGGCTGTAGATTTCTCTGTTTTTGGCCTGTCAATGCATTCCGTGGGCTCTAACTCAAACCTTTAACCAATATGAAACTGGATGGCAACTCTGCTCAGAAATCTGGCTGAGTGCATCCTTTTCTCCTGCTAAAAGCTTGGGAGAAATTTCTGCACTTATGGTGCACTGAAGCTGATAAGATGTTTCTGCTGGGAAAGGAACAACAGAAATATTAATGTCCTTGACCTGGAGCTCTGCTCCTTACTACTGGACCTGCTGTCACTCAGACCCCTGGAGTTAACACTTTCCACATCTTCTATTCTAGCACCAAATAGAATTTCTTGTTCATTTAAAAAAATATTTCATGAAATGTTTAAATTAAAACCTTGCATCCGTGTGGTACTTTAGTTACCACTAATAAACCAATATTGATTCGTGAATATTAATAAACACCCATAGTCTATTCTAGGATCTACTCTTTATATTGCACAGTTCTGAATTTTGAAAAATGCATAATGTTGTGTATCCACAATTACAGCCTCACACAGAACAGTTTTATGGCCCTAAAACTTCCCTGGGCTCCACTTATTCATCTCTCCCTCTGAATCCAGCCCTCTGGCAACCAATGATCTTTTTAATATCTCTATAATTTTGCCTTTCCAGCATGTCATATGGTTAGATTCATACAGTATGTACCCTTTTCAGACTGGTTCCTTTCACCTAGCAATATGCATTTAAAGTTCCTCCATGTCTTTTTGTAGCTTGATCATTTTTTTTTTAATCACTAAATGATATTCTATTGTATAGATATGCTACAATCTATTTATTCATTCACCTATGGAAGGACACCTTGATTGCATCCAGTTTTGACAATTATGAATAAAGCTGCTACAAATATTCATATGCTGGTTTTTGTGTTGACTTCCCTATTAATTTTCCAATCTTCATTGATATAGGAACAATACAATGAGAGTAGACCTGAAGACACTGTTCATTCTAGGAAGCTGAAAGACACTAATTTGGGGTCCATTTTTTCTGAAAGCACCTTAATAATTCTTTGGCTTTTGGCTACCATTTCTGATTATCAGATAACTTCTGCAAATGTATTTTCTGCAGTTCAGTTACTACCTATATACAAAAGTTTATCAATTTTTTCCAAGGATCCTGTTATTAATGAACAGGTGTCCTCTGTTGACTACAGAGTACTGATACTGCCTAAAGAGAGGAGGAACAATTACATCCAATGAATGTAGCAATTCCACGTGTCAACATTATTCTCCAGGACTATACCTACCCAGTGGAAATAGAGCTACTTAAAATTTCAAAGAATAATCACATTTCGATGCCTCTGCTTCTATAAGGGGATTAGCTAAATTTAGATCACAGGCACCAATATTCTTGACATTGGCGTTCTGATATCAATATCCACAGTCAAAGGTAGATTACTTTTTTCTGTAACTGGAAGGTCCATATTCAAGTAGAATCTGTTTCAGTTCCCAACTCAATAGTAGTTGGTTCCATTCCCTTTTCCCCAAGAAGTACATGATCCCCTGTGTTTCAGAAATGTTCTTGGTCACGTGGAATATTCTGGATTCCACCTCATGCTGTTCTAGTTTTTGGTGCTCTTGAAGGCCACTTGCCTGACCTAGAATCAGATATTTAAGATGCCTGCCCTTTCCCCCAGCAACATCTGTAGTCTGTGTATGACTGGTAGTTATGACAGAAAAAAGAGCTTCCTTTCTGTGTTGGGATGAAATTTGAGACCTTGGATGCTTTTTGCAGCAGGAAGTTTCTTGAGGTTATCTGCAACATCTGCTGTTTCTGATGAATTCTGCAAAGGCTGAGCTGGGCTCCAATCTGAAGCAATACTGTGCTGGAGAAACATGATCAGAAAGATCCTATAGAGGAAAAGAATTTTTTTTTCTTTTTCTTCCATTTTGAACTTCTTTATTTAAAATCAATATTGTGGGCTGGGGATGTGGCTCAAGCGGTAGCACGCTTGCCTGGCATGCGTGGGGTGCTGGGTTTGATCCTCAGCACCACATAAAAATAAAATAAAGATGTTGTGTCCACCGAAAACCAAAAAAATAAATATTAAAAAATAAAATCAATATTGTGAGAATATACCAAAAAGAACTGAAAGCAATAACTGAAAGAGATATTTATATACCCAAGTTCAGGGCAGCATTATGTACAGTAGCCAAAAGGTGGAAGCAACCGAAATGTTCAACTACAGATGAATGGGTAAACAAAGTATGGTAGGTACATATTATAGAATATTATTCAACCTTAAAAAGGAATGGAATTCTAATACATGCTACAATACAGATGAATCTTAAAGACATTATGCCAAGCGAAATGTGCCAGTCACAACACAACCAATACCGTATGATTCCACTTATGTAAGATTCCTAGAATAGTCAAAGCCACACAGACAGAAGGTAGAATGGTGTTGCTAGGGACCTTGGGGAGGGGGAGGGGGAGTGGGAGTTATTGTTAAGTGGGTCTGGAATTCAACTTTGAGAAGATGAAAAAGTTCCGGAGATGGATGGTAGTGATGGTTATTCAATGGGAATGTACTTCATGCTGTTTGTTGAAGTGTACTTTAAAAGTGGTTAAAATAATATATTTTAAGTTATGCATATCTCACCACAATGGCCTTTTTTTTAAAAGTCAATATTAAAATTAATGCAATCCTGTGAGATAACTAGCACCTCAATATTGGACATCCATAAGTCTTGATCACTCAAAAGTTTTCTGAGTAGTCTTCACTTATACTTCTTTTCCCAGGGCAAATTTTAGTACTATCCTCTTTATTCTCAGTGTGTCCTGGTTTAGACAACAAGTTGGTCACTGTAGACATGTTCACCTTAGATCTAGTTCATAACTGCATAAATCATTTCATTGCCATCTTTGTTTACGAATGACTTATTCTGACTGTCTCTGTATTTTCTTGAATTACTCTAATTCTAAATTTGATGTCCAGTGAGTGGTTACAGAGTCTGAGAATTTTTTAAGGATATCTGATTACTTTTTGAACATTGATTAGAGTACCAAAAGCAGTCCTCATCTCTTACAAACACATTACCTCTTTAAATACTAAAGCCCTTTGATTTTCAACAAGCTCACCTATTTCAATTTCTGTGGGTCGAAGAAACAAACATAAGAACTGCAGTTACTTTTTGCCTCTTAGCTACCTTTTAATTTTTGTTAAGAATATGAGCAACTATTCTTTGAGGTCAAAACTATATTTGTTTGAAATAATTCCATCTTTCACCTTGCAATGACAGAATATGCCACTTTCTATTTGACGAAGCCATGTTCTTCGTGCTTATTATTACAAGAGAGCCCACTATCACAACCCTTTGTTATCTACCCCATAGACCATACACAATATGCTCTTAATATCCACTTCTTGAATTGCCAAGTAAACAAATCATTCAGTGATGTTCAAATACTAGTTTTGCTTAATTCTCCTCAAATTTTGTCTTAAAAAATATGCATGTTCCCTTTATCTAGCTCCCCCCCTTCCATATGGCTCATCAATGATCTAACCTGAGAGATATTTCAGATTGGGATGTTCTAAAAAATTTTTATAGACTACTTAGCAAATTAAAAGATAATTTTGATTTTCAATCCACAGAAGGAAATTTTGTACTAGAACTTCATTTTTAACCAAGCTCCATGCAGCAGGAGAAAACAAGAATTTATCATTCTTATAACCTGGAGTAAGGGAAACCCAGGGTCTTGCCTCCAATGTTTGTACAAATTGGAATCAAAGGGAAAAAGTGCCTGAAGGGAGAGAGCATTCATGCATTACTATAACACAAAGATGAATACTCCTACTCTCCTTTATTTGATCGAATAATATTCGGTTCAGTTACTCCCTGGATAGAAGACTTAAAGCTGCATTTACAGAGTACGAGCATTGTTTTATCTTCATGTGTTAATCTGGGGTGGCTTGGGGTGAGCCAAAATTATCACTACTGAACCCCAAAATGCAGTCATATTATAGTATAATTTGCTCCCAGCAGCATTTGTAATTCTGCACTAAAATGCTTTCATCACCTAACAAGAGATGAATAATCTTACCTTCTGAGATCTAAAACTCAATCTAAGAAAATGCATGCAAACAGTGACAAATTCACTAAGTTAGTCCATTTCCTTAAGATATCCTTCTGTCCTTTTCTAACTCCAAGCATCAGAGGCAAATTCAAGATGATTTTTATCCAACAATCAAGACTATTCTTAGATATACTCATGTACTTTCTGAGTGCAAATAAACTGATAATTTATTACCCAGGAATAGAAGAGATCCAATCATATTCACATTAGTGGTTTGTAAAAAAAGGGAATTGAACAGGTGTGAGGGTATAAAATAAGTGATTGGAGTAAATTCAAGCATACTCTTATTTTAATCTATAATAAATAGATCAGGTCTATCTTTGTAATCCTTAAAAAGAACACTATGAAAGTTAGAGAAAAGACAGATTCAGCAAAAACACAAGTACACAGTTAATACATCTAATAAATAAACTAGCCAGTCAGGACTATTATTTATAATAGTACTATATTCTTTCTTTGCATTATGATTCATGAAATGGGTAGGCTATCTGGAGCGTTGGTGGGGGGAACCATTTTAAAAATCATTTTTTAAAATATTTTACTTTGATTACTAATCCAAATCAAAGGAATATTTTTTACTTAAAAATTTATTTTTACTTAAAATGATTTTTTTGTTTATTTACTTAATGCTTATTCTAGTAATTGTAATCTATAATATCCATCTGTTTGAAAGAGTAACTGGTTAGTAACTAGGTTTTTTTTTGGGGGGGTACCAGGGATTGAACTCAGGGGCCCTTAACCACTGAGCCACATCCCTAGCCCTATTTTGCATTTTATTAGAGACAGGGTCTCACTGAGTTGTTTAGTGCCCTGCTAAATTGCTGAGGCTGGCTTTGAACTCAGGATCCTCCTGCCTCAGCCTCCTGAGCTACTGGGATTACAGGTGCGTGCTACCATACTAGCTGCTAGGTTGGTTTTGATTTTTATAACACATCTTCCAAAATCAATCTCAACCTGCTTCAAATTAAGTATTCTAAATCTCCAATAAACTGTATTTTAGATGTGTTGGATATGATGGTTTGTAACTTAACATTTGTTTCTACCTCCTTCAACTGTACATTATTTCACAACTCTGGCTAGAGGCCTAAAAATTACATTTCCCAGAGTCCCTTGCCCCCAGGACTCTGGGCATGGAATAGGTTCTGCCAATAAGATGAGATGGAGAAGAAGGGAGGTGGAGGGTTTCTAAGGATGATGTTTGCTAGCTGGTTTTTGTTGTTGGTAGCAATGGTCAGTCACTAGCTTCCTGGCACTTTGCAGCAGCTTCTCTGATCAATGGAATACAGCCAAACAGTGTGCTTTTGATGTCAGCAGTTCCAGTGGCTCTCATTCCCAGCCTCTAGCCTGTGGCAGTAATGGGAGCAAACCTGGGCAGGTTCAGGCAAGCTGCCTGAGAATCACCTCATGAGGCTTAGCCAAGATCCTCTCATCTCTTATAAGTAGCAACTTTCCCTTCCAACCTTCTCCTGAGCAACTAATTCCCTTATTAAAGCTCTTTCTGCTTATAGTAGCTAGGGCTGTTTCCCTTATCTGCAACCTTACTGATAAGAGAAAGTGAAGGCAGAGATGAGAGCATTCTGTATACCAAGATGGAGGAAATACCTTGGGAGAACCATGAAGGGGGAAAGGTTGTGCCCATCTGGCAAACACAGTTATGCAATACAAAACCAGCCAGGTGTACCTAAGTCAGGGTTGATGGCACTTTAGGGTCTGGACTTGAGAAATAAAAAGAAAAAACTTATGAAATCTGCGAAATAACCATGGGGAACACTGGAGAGAGAAGGAGACAAGGAAAAACAGAGAATAATACTATGTACTTGGGGAAGAGGACTGCCCACCAAGTCCTTGAAATGACCTTGAGAGAGCAATCCAAGGGAGAGGCTGCTTCCTGCCACTGCTCTGCAGAGTGTATATCACAACCTCACAGAGCTGGGCTCAGGGACTCTCAGATACTTTGGTGACCTTTCCATGTGAGAAATATGAAGCAATCGGTCCCCGCAGCTCTTCTATAGATATGGATTAAAACTGAAGGGGTGACTGTGTGTGGGTGTGTGGGTGTGATATTATGATAGCTAGAAGTATCCGTGACATGTATTTTAAACAGAAATCTGTTCAATTTGAAAAAGAAATTAATCCAAAGTATTTTAAATTCAGACTATAATACAAAGAGCTGGCAAATTAATCTATCATGGTAAAACTGTTTTCATTTTTGATCAGTTAATAAAAGATTACAAATATCATTTTTATAATTCAATAGAGTAGTCTGAAAAACTCTAAGGTAATATGTTTCAAAAATAATTAAGAGTTCTACTGAAACCATAGCCTTACATAGAAAAAAAATGTTTCTCATAACAGACCTACTGCTTCGGCCTCATTCATACTGTCTTGCCCCCTTCTTCAAAAGTACCTGCTCTCTTCTTTGTTCTCCCTGAAAAACACACACACACACACACACACACAGTCACATTCAGGGTCCCTGCAGGTGCTGTTTATTCTGCATTAAACATTCTTCCCTCATATCACTTCCTTATGTAAGCATTCCTCACCTCCTATCCCATAGATTCTAATTCCTTATTTCTACCTTCATGCATTTCTAGTTGCTATAACTGAGTAGCAAAGACTGGATAATTCATAAAGAATTGAGTCTTATTTATCTCATGGTTCTGGAGGCTAAGCAATCTAAGAATATTGCTCTACTCAGCATCTGGTGGTGACTTCTTGCTGGTGGTGAATCTCTGGAAAGTCCCAAAGAGGTATCACATGGCAAGAGAGCAAGCCTAGTGACTTGGGTCTTTTCCTAATAAGCCACTAATACAATCCTAGGACCCCAGCCTTATGACCTCATTATTCTGACTTCCAAAAGCCCCATTTCCAAATACCATTAACATACAACTCCAAGGATTAAGTTTCAACAGGAGTTTCGGAGGGACACACACCTAGACTATAGCACTGCCCTTGACATTTTTCCCGCAGAGCACTTAGTAAAGATTTAAATGATAGGTTTACCTCTTACCAGCAAACATGCATTCTGCAAGCAAAAGGTTCAAATCTGTTTTTCTTGCTCTTGGTGCCTTGGGTGCCTTGGGAATGCTGAATGCCTGAAAAGCTGAATAAATAGTATTACTGCTTCCTTTCCACAGTCTAAATACTAGACCCTATTTCTAAATCCTAAAGGATGTAAATTTTGTGAAAACCAAAAATTAACATCCTGTTATCAAGACTATACTTCTAAAGACATTAACAGAAACTAGTTAAGCAAATGCATAAATTTATTTTACAAGTTCACTTGGAAAGCTCCTCCCTCGCCCTATTATCTATCTCATCATTATCTCCAAAAATAATTGCAAGTGACCTCTTTAACGTTGGTAACTCAAAGGTCTGTCTAGGGTAGAGGAGAAGCAAGTGTGACAGTGTTAGCCTCAAGCTCCTAGGCAACACTAACTAGGAGAGGAAGGGGGAATGACCCATTGACTCAAATATTAAATTCTAGAGTCAATTATGCAGCAACCCCTCTGCAGCCCCGGGAAATGATACTAAATCAACACTGCTACTTCTTTCTATAACCACTCTTCACGACTGTTCCCAATGTGCCAACAGTATACTCAGCATTTCACATTCATTATTCCATCTGCTTCTCATAACCACCTTAGAAGGATCATTATGCCCATTTCACTGATGGGGAAATGGCACTAAGCTAAATTTCATTCCAGGCAATCTAGTTCAAACTTAAAAAGCCTCCCTGGAGTAGTTGGAAGGGTCTCTGCATGAGATGTAAGTACCCAAAATAAATGGCATTATCCCCTCTTTGAACAGCTCTTATCTAGGGCTTTTATCCTCTCCTATGCCATCAAGAGAAGAGAATCACAAAAGCTATGGCCATGTAAGATCACTATTCTTTCAGCCTTCCCAGGGACCAAACTATGCCAGATCCAGCTCAATATTTAGATCCGTAAGTTTGTCCTTACATAATTCTTTAATTATCTTAATACTTGCATGCCACTCTTCAGAACACTTCCTAATTTGTCTAAGAGTAAAAACATAAAATTGCACAGACAAGTGCTGACAGCCTAATTTTAACATTCATTACACCATGGGCTAACTGCAATGAGAGTTTTCACTCAATTCCTTCTTAAAAATATAAACCAAACGTCCACATGCAGTAAACACAAGAATTTCATTGCATTTTTCTCTCAAAATTTAGATTCCGAGTATTGCTAAGCATCCCTAGCTTGTGCCTTCTTCAAAGCAATGATAAAGCCTTCACCATGTGTCTCAAATTTTGGAGCCTAGTTCTCCATACTTTCAAGTGAAATGCATTGAAGTACTCACCTACCCATCTCTCAGAAATACTATATGTGGTGTCTGACTAATACCTTTTCTACACAGCCCTTTTAATCATAAGTAAGATCTGGCTTTGGAAAATACACATAAACAGAGATTTAAGATGTTCTGGGACTTCCTCCTGCTACCCTGACCCTCCATTTTAAGGAAGAATTAGTTAACTATGCAGACTAAGTATTTTCAATGTCATCATCCCTCTGGTAAGTAAAATTTTATTAAAACCTCCAAAGTACCTTGATACTTTAACTATATTAAGATATATGCCCCAAATGGGGGGGGGGGGCAAATTATTTCCAAAGAACATCATTACAGTAATTGAATCTTTCTAGAAATATGATTTCTTTTGAATTAGGAAGAGTCTGTAAGAGTTCTCTTTTCAAATCTGACCAAGCACATTAATAAAGCGGCAGTTTTCTGAAGCAGTTTCCTTAGTGACGAGATACTTTCCAACTTGTCAAGGTCTCCTTTAAATAAGTTACATGCAATCAACGGCATCAGAGCCACTAGCATCCTTCTCCAGTGATCCTCTCTTCTGAGCATCTCTAAGGCACCACTCACAATATTAGAGTTGTTTACACTGCATTTTCAGCCAGGAATCAAGGGCATAAAAACCTACAGTCTCCAAAACAAATTAACCATTCATTAGCCAGGAAGGCAAAGGATTTGACTTGCTAATTAGTCACACGAATAATGTTTTCCTCTGCTGAAACAACACCAATCGTTACCTGAAATATCGCAATGACCTTAATACAAAGCTATATAGATTCATTCTAGCTCTTTTCCCCATGTGAAATTTCCTATGTACATTCAAATTCATGCATACCCACTTATATAAAGCTTTGCCCGTATATTTTTGTAATCTTCCCCCTCTTTCTACATAAAGTATGGTTTGCTTATATCATGTATTACAAAGAACCAAAGCAATATAAAGAGAGAGAGAGAGAGAGAGAGAGAGAGAGAGAGAGAGAGAGAGAGAGAGAGGTTAAGAACACAAGTAATATTATATAAATCCTACCATCCTATTTTGGCATTCCTTTCTAAAAACCGTATTTTCATCTTCAGCTTTGAAAACTTTCTGCCTTCAAGTTATCTTAGTTCTCCGCCTCCTGCTAGTTAAAAATCAATTCCCAAGTGATAGCTTCTGAAGGGAAAGATACACGTGCACTCCACGAAAATACAAACTCATTTTCGCCTCTAAGCCACTAACCGTGTCCCCTTCAGCTCTGAGCTCTGATGGATCGGTTCTCCCATCTGAAGCACATCCCGCAATCCCTTACTGCTCCGCAGGCTCGCCGGTTTGGGTCGTGTCTAAGTTTGCAAGGTAAACAGGTCACCCACGGTGACAGGAATGGCCTAGGAAGAGCAGGAACTCACCCAGGCGGTCAGACCCCGGGCGTGCAAGGCGACCTGTCGCACCCTCTCCTCCCAAAGGGCGCAGAGCCAGCAGAACTAGGGCGGAAAAGAGGCTTCTCGCGGCTCCCCTCTGCAGACCATTGTCAGCGCCCGGGTCGCGGGCGCTCTCTGCACGGTATCGGGGCGGGAAGCTCTCCGAACCAAATAGTTACAATGCTCTCCGGGGAGCTGCCGAAGAAAAGCTCTTTTGCATCCAGGTCGGGGCGGTTCTAGGTGTAACTTCCACCTCTTGACCTATTTTGGAGCGTGAGAATGAAAGGAAGAGGGAAAAAAATAGACGGAGGGCGCGCGCGGGGTGCTGCTGCGCGCGAGGCCGCGGGGAACGCGCGCGCGCGCGCGCGCGCGCCCGGGCTCGTGTGGGGTTCTGGAAGAGAAGTTGGAGCGAGGCCCCGGAGGCCTCCCGCTCTGAGGCTCGCTGCCCGTCTCCTCCAGCCGCGGCCGGAGTAGCACCCTCGCCAGACCCTTCCCGGCTCGGAAAAGAGCTTCCGGAGCTCGGGGTGCTTCGGGCAGACCCGGCAACGGTACCTGGACGACCGCCCGCGGCCCTGGGAGCGCGGGCTCCCGCCCAGTCACCACCCCGCCTCCCAGACCCGCCCTCACCTCTCAGGAGGCGGCGCTCCGGCTCCGGCTGTCCGGGAACTCAGGCCGGCGGCCTCTCCGGGTCGGGAGGACGAGCAGGCTCCGAGGGACGGCGGGCGCCTGATGAGCCGGGGGAGTGTCTCCTCCCCACCCCGTCCCCTCCGAACGTGCCGGGAAGTGAGGAGCGATCGCTCTCTCCCTGCCTGAGGCCGGGGGTGACCTTCCTGCCTCCTCCCCCTCGCTCTTCTGGTCGGTCTCTGGCGTGGCCGGTCCTCAGTGGGCGAGGACACCGAGGCGGGTACACCTGGTCGGCCCAAAGCGCTGCAACGCAGTACCTGGGGTGACAACACCGTGACGCTTCAGCGCGTCTTTTCTCATTTGGTCCTGGCAGCCACCTACTTCAACGGAAATACCCCCCATTGGGTACCTGTGTACATGGGATAGATAACTAGATCAGAGGATTTTTGCATAGTCCAGAGTGCTACTGCATGGACGCTCCGAATCGTTTTACTGAAACAGTATGCTCCATCTGTTAAAGAGTGTTTGCCAAAGGAGCCCCATCAAGTGGCTTCTATCAGAGGAAAGGGTGGAACCTAGAAGCTTTTCCCCAAAAGGGGACAGACACACACCCCCTTATTTCTGTAAGAATATCTCTGCCACGTCTTTAGCGTAATCACATTCAACCTCTATCAGTAAACTACTCAGTTGTCATCAGCGGTCTATGTATTTTTTTAAAAAACCCTTGTTTTCCAAGTCAAATGATTAGTACTTTAACTGTTCTGTTGACCTTTATGTACAAGGTTGGGACTCCTGTTCCCATGGGGTGGGGGGGACCTCTTCACCTTGAGTTGTTTTTCCAGTCACATTTGTGTGGACCCAGCTATATGGCTATTGTGGTATATTCAGGGTGGTACTAAGAGGGCCTGTTGGAGATCAGCAGACAGTTTCTGATTCTGGAATAGTTCCCTAGTGCCACAGTATATTGAGGTGGGGTAGAGAGAACATCTGCTCCCGCCTCTTTATTGTCATGACAAGGGTAACCAAATAGGCATTGCCTTTTTCTGTAAGTACCCTCACTCCCCCACCCCGGTTTACTGGTGAGGTGCAGGGCAGGTCATGAGCCTGGTTTTATGTATTCTTCTTCAGCTGAATGCCAGCCCATAGAAATGTCACTTCATTTTCGTTTCCATTCAGTGAAGCTGCAACTTCAGTACAGAGGACGTGTATTAGATACTGAAATGTTCCCTGCCTCTTCCAACAGAGCAAGACAAAGCACATCTAAATAGTATAGTGCCTGACATATTGTAGAGACCTAATCAATACTTATGGAGTGAATATTATCTAAACAGAGTGTGATGAACAGGAAAGTGGCCTGTTTTAAATGTTTCAGGAAAACATTCACAATCAGATGAGGTGGTCAGGGAAATAATCCTAGAGGAAGTGACAGGTGAGGAATTTTGAAACAAGGAACTGGCTTAGGAGAAGGGAGAATAAAAGTATGTTTGATGTGATTTCAAGATATGGTCATGGTAGAGGTTCTTAACTTTTTGTACAAATAGATCCTTATAAGAATGTGACAGAAGTTCTAGAGCACCCTACCAAATAAACAAATGATAAAGATATTTACATATGTTTTCTGGGAGTTCATGGACTGCTGAAGCAGATCTGTAGAATCTCCAAAGTCTGCAGATTTGAATTTCTAATTCTTTGTTTGGAAGCAGGGAGAAAAATAAAGACATTGTGTTAGCTGTTTGCTCCTGTGACAAAATACCTGAGATAAGTTACTTAAGAGGAAGAAAAGTTTATTTTGGCTCACAATTTCAGAGCTTTCAGTCTATGATAGGTTGGCTCTGTTGTTTTGGGGCCTGTGGCAAGATAGCAAGCACATCATGGTGGGGAGTGTATGATAGAGCAAAGCTGCTCATATATGATGGCTCAGAAGCAAAGAGAGGAAAAAGAGGAGCTAGAATCTAAATATCTTCCTCAAGGACACACCCCCCAATGATCTAACTTCCTTCCACTAAGCCCCACCTCCTAAATGTTCCACCCCCTCCCAATAGCACCACAAGCTGGAGTCCAAGTCTTTAGCTTGTTGGCCTTTGTGGGACATTTAAGATCCAAACCATTAACAGAGATTATTCTAGTTGAGGCCATGAGAGAAGGCACTTCTTCCATGGCCACCAGGAGTATTTGGTTAATGGCTATGGGAATAGAATGAAAGTGTGATATAAAGAAAATTTGTACACTAGAAAAAATAGCAGAATTTTTAAACAGTATTATATTCTTTTTATATATGAGAATTTGAGATCTCAGGAGAAAGGGAAATGGGATAGATAAAATAGGGTTGTCTAAATATTGAGAGCTGCTGATGCTGGGTGGGTACATGGGGTTATTGTATTCTTGTCTCATTGGGATGCTTGACATTTTTCAGGGAAAAAAAATTTGATGAAGAGGTTGTGAGGGGAATGGGAAAATAAACAAGGAGAGATATGAATTACAGTGGTTGGGGTAGAGAGAGAAGATGGGAGGGGAGGGAGGGGGGATGGTAGAGGATAGGAAAGGTAGCAGAATACAACAGTTACTAATAGGGCATTATGTAAAAATGTGGATGTGTAACTGATGTGATTCTGCAATCTGTATTTGGGGTAAAATTGGGAGTTCATAACCAACTGGAATCTAATGTATGAAATATGATATGTCAAGAGCTTTATAATGTTTTGAACAACCAATAAAAAAAATTAAAAAAAAAAAAAAAAGAAAAAAATTTGATGAACTTTTACCTTTGGTTAGTCATAACCAATTCATGGCATTTCCTAGAATGGAGAATTTGTATATTATGAAGAAAAGAAATGAAAAAGGATTCAATATAAAGATGTCAGTGATGTTACACATAAGATCATTATTAACAAGCCTTTTGTTGTTGTTGTTCTTTTTAGATATACCTGACAGTAGAGTATATTTTGACATAATATACATACATGGAGTATAATTCATTCTGATTAAAATCCCATTCTTGTGTTTATAAATGATGTGGAGTCTCACTGGTTGTGTATTCATATATGAACATAGGAAAGTTATATCTGATTCATTCTACTGTCTTTCTATTCCCATCCTCCTTCCCTTCCCTTCATTCCCCTTTGTCTAATCCAATGAACTTCTACTCTCCCTGCCCCCCTTATTGTGTGGCAGCATCCACATATTAGACAGAACATTCGGCCTTTGGCTTTTGGGGATTGGCTTATTTCACTTAGCATAACAAGTGGAGTCTTTATTGAAATAATAGATTTCTCTTAGAATGAATTATGACTTGTGTTCTTCATAGTCTTGACAGAAGCTAGACAGACCACTGTGAACACTGAACAGCATTCCATATTTCTTTATAATCTTACACCTCAGTTTGTACTGCTTAGTTAACTAAGCTTCTTTTAATTACAGTATATAATTGTATAGTGCATATTTATGTATCTATTATACCATACATTAATATTACTCATTTTTGCCCTATATTATTAACATATTATATAATCATTATTATATTGCTTGGATAATGTAGTTCCTTTGTTAACTCTTTAGTTCTGGCCCACACCTCCTGAAGTAGCAAGGGCAGGCTATGATCCGCTGAGTACCTGCCTTGCTTGCTGCCTTCTTCTGAGAAAAGCAGCCACAGTGGTAACTTACACACAGGTTAGCATTGTTTATCATGTGACTAATTCAGTCAAGGATTGCTGCTTACCCAAAGGAATTACATAACTTATCCTGTGGCTTATGAAGCAGACTCTGGAGAACACTGCCAATTAGGTACAAACTGTGTTGGATATTGATGACCTGAGCAGATCAGGTTTTTCCTTACTCCTAGGTGTCTTAAGAGGCAGGGCTGGGATTTGAACTCAGGCAGTGAGTGCTCCACACACTCTTCACCACTCTGTTCACTGCCTCAGGAGAAGCACAGATAGTTAAACTGAATCACATGCATGACCA